TGGCAGCAAAAGATGGAAACAGCAGCTGTAGAAGACACTTGGACCTGTGAACACAGTAACTCTAAAAGTATTGCGTGTGACTTTGCAGGTGACAAACTGCAAGTGGTAAGATTTTGAGACAGATTGTGCCAAAATTGAAGCAATGGTGCTTAGTAACAGCAAAGAGAAGGATTACATCGTGCACACCTCCATATATGGCAGTAATATTTAAATGCTTTTTTTATAGGCCCCCCCAGGACAGATTTGTCCTGAACCCCCCACCCCCATACATAAAACGGTATTCCAGACACGCGTTGTCCACAAGCCACTGCTCTAAGACTGTACGGGAAGCACGGCTTCCCCTATAAAATTCCCAAAAGAATTGAATTTGTTCATTTCCATCCAGGCATTTTCTGTAACTACTTGTCCTATTCAAGATCATGGGGGGTCTGGAGCCTATGGGCACAAGGCAGGGAACAACCCAGAATAGGATGCCAACCCATCACAGGGCACACTCACACACCATTCACTAACATACGCACACCTATGGGCAATTTGGAAACTCCAATCAGTCTCAGTATGTCTTTGCACCGTTGAGGAAAACCAGAGCACCCAATGGAAACCCCACGATGACAAACGGAGAACATGCAAACTCCACACACATGAATCCCTGGTGGAGACTTAAATCCTGGTCTCCAAGGTTTGGGGCGACAGTGCTAAACACTGAACCACCAAACTTGTCAATGTATCAATGTAAATGTGTTTTATTGTGCAATTAAAAGTATTATTATGGGAGTTGCCTTTGACAACAGATACATTCATTTAAAATTTGAAACGAGGATAAATACAGCCCATAGATGGCCATTGATGCTGTGCTTCACTGGAAGTCTATGGAAGATTCATGTATGCCTTGTCTAAATGGAGCATAGACGAAAGCTTATTGGTTAATTTGCTCCGATTACGTGTTTTTGCAGCTTCCTTGGACGCCATGCTTCTCTGGGAGAGCTTCATACATAGTTTTTGCTTAGGCTACGTTGATTGGACAGATTAGACTTGCAGTCAGATATTTCAGACCAACCTGAAAGGCTTCTCTGCATGGTGATTGGGAGACATCTCAACAAGACAGGTTAAACTACCAATAATTTTGTTGACGTCGGCCGTGTTTATTGATTCTATGTCATGCAGGGGCACAGTAGCATTTTGTTGAATCCCAGAGTGACAGCTTGTTTCATATGACATCTTTCATCATTGGCATTTTGAAATATTGTTAACAAAGTCATTATCATTGAGGCTGAGTTTAATTATTTGTTTAATTTTCAGTAATAGTTCAGTGATTTTTAGCAGACTAGTTTGGTAGTTGCTTGCTAACTAAGCGGTATGAGTTCAAAATGATCAAATCCTTTCTGCAAGAGCCATGCTGGTATGGCAGAGTAACAGATAACAAAAAGGCCTTTTTTGGTCATACTGTCAATTGCTGACACTGTGCGTCCCCCTTATAAAACTCACCATCCGCCACTGGCATCGCCATTCTCTTTATACTCTTTTTAGGTGTTGCTTTGAAATCACATTTTTTTTTAACACTACTATCAGCTAGAAATTGCTCCGCAGTTCCTCCAAGTATATTAGCATTAACTGAGCAACTTTCCTTATGGCACTAGTCATAACAGTTCGATGAATTCAATACATAGACCCTGTCAGTTTTACTCATTGTAATTATTTTAATTTAAGAGTCACATACTTTGGATAGACATGTAATGTGCTCACACTTTTTAATATTTCTGAAGGCTGCAATTTCAAAATAGATCCGTCCCCACCTCAACCCCCCCTAACCCCCAGTATAGTTTTTCTCCTCACCTGCACCCCCCACCTCCACAATTCCTTTGCATCCCACAATTTGAATAACTTTGGTATATTCCATTAGTGTATCTGTTACAGTTCTTACTCTTATGTCAGAGAAAATTTTGGTCATAGTGCAAAAGAGAAATAAATAAAATATAAAAATATAAAAACTACAAATATGCATTGCAGTAACAATGCAAAGCTCGTGGGTTGACATCCAAGTGAGCACACACAAATTGTAGCTGTTCCCTCTACTGTAAGTCTTTTATGGTAATTGTTAGTTAAATGTGAGTTAAATGTATGTTGTGCACACAGGAAAATAAATGTCTATGGCTCTGTATAAACCATTAATGCATCAGTTATGGTTCTTACTGTTATGTCACAGAAAATGTTGGTCATAGTGCAAAATATATATATTTAAACTATATAAATATTTAAACAAATAAATAATATACATCACATTTTCAGACATGGACATTGAAACATACACAAAGGAGTACAAGTAACTATACCTAACTGGTGGGGAAAGATTCTGTAAATCGTCATATAAGTGAGATGCATGATAAATTAATAAGTATACTTTAAGATCTACATATCACAAGGACTCATAGCATTCAGGTAAAAACACATTTATTAACTCTTACGTTACCCGATGATCCATCCAGTACTTCTAGAAATTATGCAAATTAGCGAGTGTGTGAGGAGTATGGATTAGATGTCCAGGGAAAACAATGCTGTCATTTCTGACAGAACCAAATCCCATTATGAATGAACTGGGTGGGCAACAGGGGTAGACAAAACTGGAACCTCAACCTATGGCAATGTGGTTACAATCAGGCCGCAGGAGGAAAAATGCTATGAATTATTGATTTGCTTTCAGTTCTCCAGTGAAATGTGCACTTCAGCCAATAAAATATATGCAAATGGTTTCATAGGTGGTTTCCTCCAACCTTCAACCCGTGTGAGAGGGAGATGATATTAACAGAGTCCTATACATCGCAGAGACAAATATTCACTGAGCCTAGATGAGTTCATCAATGCATTCCACCCTAACGTAGAGGTAGCCAATGTGACAACTAGAGCTATATCTGGCTGCATTGCAGGGCTGTACTTGGCACTGGAGCACCAGGAGGATACAGCTGACGAGTAAGCGTGACACTGCCAAAGCCGTTTATTCACAGGTTCAAGAGGGCGATGGATTTCAAGGAGAAGTGCCTGCTTCTGCTCCTTCTCCATTATGGTAGACCGCCCCTTTAACAGTCATATCTGTTAAAGATACAGAGGCTGATTGCATAAACGCCTCTCCTCCGTGTGAATGAGACACGATGCCAGGCAGAGCAGGCCACTCTTGTTCGGAGCGCATTCAAACTGAGAGGCCCTTCGACATGCACCCTTCCGGCAGGTGGTGAAGGCCCTAGAACGGTGCACCCTTAAAAAAGGATTCAAAAACACCCCTAGCAGACACATGCAGTCAGTCATGAACACATAGCAGGCCAAGAGACCGAAACATGTTTGCACGCCTACGCACATGTGGGCAGGCGTGGTGCACAAGTGTTCAGACACAAATGCAGCCAGAGTGTGTTAATATCCCAAACAGCCACAGGATGACCTGGGAGCAGAAAAGATCCCCTTTAGCTGCACTTCTCTTTTTCACTCCAGAAAACACACCAGACATGGAGAATAACATATCCATACATAGACACATAAAGCTCCCTGACCACACTGTCGTACTGCAATACACCCTCAAGCCACTTGACTTTTATCAGTATTCAAGTGGTACAGTATATGGATTTATTTAAAATAATTTTGAATCAAAAACATTATGTGCTGCTTGATTATTATTTAAAAGGCACAATTATTTGTATGATCCATCAAAGTGTTAAGCTTTTGCTCATTCAAATGTGTGTGTGTGTGTGTCTGAGCATGCAGCCTCTACGGTCAGCAGTATGCTGTCATTTCAGACATGGAGAAAAGCTTGAAAACAGACTCCAGCACACAAATCTTCCAATTAGCTGAATGAAATCCAAATCAGGAACTTAAGAGATTATCCAGATCAGGTGACCACTCCTTACTGTTTAGTCCTTGAAGCCTCCTAGGATACGTCAGCTGCCTTTGTAAGACAACAGTAACTACACTGCAAATGAAAACCAGTCTGAAAAATCACATTTTCATATGCAGTATATTTAGTTCAATCATATGTGTAGTTCTAAATATCCTCCACTAATGCAGAAAATCATCAGTTTTGAATCATCAGCTGAACACCTTATTGGTATGTAGAACAGATACGACTAGGTTTTTTTCTACTACGCTAATGAGAGGGATCCACCATGTTTTTTCCAGTACGCTGGGAAGACATCACGAGAAAAACGAGTGTGGCGACCTCAACACGTACCCTGCAGTGGACTCTGCCCTTTCACTAGCGATATCTAACATCTGCATGACATCAATGACAAAGCGTAGAAAACACAAGCAAAAGAACACAGTTGCCATGTCGAGGCATCCAGAAGACTAAACGCCGCTTAAAATACCATGATGTTTAGACCAACCTGAGTGCGACTTTGGCTGAAAACTCTAAAATGCATCACAAAAATAACACTCAATTACAACTATTTTATTAGGCACAGGCAGTAATGCCGTCCACCAGAGCCGACAGTTTGGTGTATTCAGCTGAATGAAGTGCATTCGCTTCAGCACAGGACTGCTCATTATACACTGAGAACCACCTTAAATAAAAGCTTTCTTATATCCACAGCTCTCTAGCTCACAAAAGGGCATCATGTAAGTCAATAATGCCTGTGATTATGGGCTCAAGAGAACATAATCAATGCCAAGAAAACTAAAAAGTTAATACGGTTGGTTTTACTTGGGAACAACCATTTCCTCAGCACAAAAAAAGAAAGAACATGAAAGTTTGAAGCATGCAGACATAAAAAAGCCTATGGAAGATGTTTGCTTTTAAGAGAGCTTAGCATAGGTCTTGGAGTGCTGATAACAGATCCACGTCTCCATAGTTTTTACAGCTCTGTGCTATAGCATATAACGGCGGTGCTGTTTTTTAATTCCGGTTATGATGAGTAAACCATTAGATAACTTGCATTCTGGAGCACATTCAACCTACAGCAAAGCCTCTGGGCTCTCTGGCTCTCAGCGGCACCAGCAGCAGTGCAGAGCTGTGTCCATACCTGGAATGGGGTCTGGTTGTTGAAGTTCTTGACCTCCTTGTTGGCTCCACGGACAAGCAGGACTCTGGCACAGTTGTCCTGGTTCAGGGAAGGGTGGTGAAGAAGGGCAGAATGAAAGAAAGAAAGAAAGAAGGAAAGATGTGAGCATGAGCTTTTCCCGCCTCTCTCGGTGACAGCGGAGCATCCATGGTCCCGGCGCTGTCCCCAAGCCCCCTCAACCAGAGCACGCCCCCACACCCCTGCATCTCCTGCGAGAGGGGGGGGGGGGCAGCATCCCAAATCTGAATGAGCGACCCATTCATGCCCAAAGTGGGTCAAAGTCTGAGAAAGTGTCCCCCAGCCCAGGCAGTACGCCGCAGCCCCGAGGTCCTCACCACGCACAGACGGGGAGGGGGGGGGGGGGACGCCTTCACCCCCGTGGCCCCTGTGCACGTGCGGCACGGGAGACTGGTGGAGAGCCGGACGCAGAAGCTACGTGCAGTAAAACAGGGTGAACGTCTACCACTGTGGCTGTAAAGAGAGCCCACTTTGGGAAGCTGGATTCGGCAGCCCGCCCACAGAAAATTCACCGCGCAGGCACACAGCACACACACACGTACTTTGCAAACACACGCGTGCGCGAACACACAGTCACATGTCAGCCAAGTCCTTCCTCTGCTACTATAGCAGCTCACTCCTTCGCTCCATGAACAACTGGCATCTCTACTGCCTGGAACTCAGGTCCGCATTTCAGTAGCTATCTAAAAATGACGCCAGAATATTCAGTGGGAGTTTAATCTGCAACGGGTAAATGCAACGGCTTATATAATCAGAAAGTTGATTTTTCGAAACGAAAATACACATTTTAATGCAGCAAGTAATCCAACTAGTGTGTAGATTCATCAATATCTCACTTGCAGCAGAAATTAATGTTATTGATCATCAAAATGATTACGTTGAAGGTCCCTCCATCTCTCAATGAAATCACCTGTCACACAAAAACCTAAAAAAGAAAAAAGAATAGGGACTCCTAATTTCAAGTGGTCATAGCAATAATCAAATGATTTCCCAACAGGAAAGATGATAGATTATCAGTAGGCTTAACTTAGCTCATTAATTAACCAAAACTACAAAGTAAACACAATCAAAAAACACAGAAGTAGAATCTGATTGATGGCCTCTGCCAGGTACTGTGGTGATTAGCAGGATTGTCATAATATTAATGACCTGGAAAATAAACTGTGGCCATTTAAAGGGTTAGGATTTAACCATTTATGCTTTTCCAGTTTTCACATGACTTAGAAACCTTTAATACTTTAAAGGATGTGGGATGGAGCAGACCGACAGAGTCCTGACTCTTCAATTATTTCCCTGGGTGAACCTTAATTATTTGACGCGGTTGTCTGGAAGAATCAGCATGAAAGTAGCTGTCGAGGAGCCGGAGACCTGCCTGCGTCTGCATGGCATGTGCATGAATACATTGCAGATAATGGGGGAAAGCTGCAGTCCCTGCATAATGCCTGCTAGAGAAACAACGAAGTTATTCTTTCAATTATTCAGGTCTCTGGTATTAACTTAAGACAGTATAGCACTACCAAAAATGGCACTGGGAGTTTCAGAGAACGCAAAGGTTTTGTAATGGGCTGGCCCTGCATGTGTAATTTATTAATTAAATCATGCGAATGTTTCTGCCCTTGGACCAACATCTTGTTTTAACACACTTCTTAATATATAACGTGGGGAATGAAAAGCATAGTGTTTAAAGATGAGGTTTAGAATGTCTTCTATGGGAGGCTGGGAATTAGGCGTTGTAGCACGGAACCTCTGGAAAGCACTGCCACTGGCACTGTTTAGGTACAGTGTAGGTACCAATAGTTCAGCACCTGGTGCAGTGGATAAGCAGCCAGAGTCTGATTAGATGTACAATCCATTTCAACTTTTATGCTCCAGTTAAAACCATATCTATTTCAGGAATGTTATAATACAACATCCAGTTTGTAAGGTTGTGCTTGTTTTTACTGTTGCTGTTCTACTTCTTCCTCTTATTATTATTAAATGGACAGCTTCATTTCCATTCTATACTGCAGCAGTAAGACAAACAAGCTCTCCAAAACTTATCATCAAATCATTTTTGTATTATTTTACAATATTACTTTTCAGTTTTAGTTGTGCTACAATAACAGCACCCCCTAAATGATTAAATTTGTTATACTGTAAGGATGAATCTCAGTCAAACCTGGTTTGATTTGATGATGCAGCCTGACAGAGGCCTGGCTGTGACGATATGTCTAAAGTGCAGGGCTAAAAACGACTGTCATGTGAGGTGATTATGTAACACTGCTTCCTAATCCACCAATGCTGAGAAAACAGCTTCTTCACAGGGTAAAGCACTGATACCCTTTTACAGGCCACTGAAGCCAAAATGAAGAAGAAAAAATAGACTCACAATGGCTTGAAAAGCAGTAAGCGTTGTTTATTGATCCAAGCAGACTGTATGCCAGTTTATTAGACTTTGTGATGGGGATCGGGGACTTTCTGCATGTCCCAGTAATGGGGAGGCAGACACTCCACATCAGAGAGTTTGGCATACAAGAGTGCAGCACAGTGGGTTGGTGGGCAGCCTTTTGTCCTGGGGTGTGGGTCTGATTCCCACCTCTGCTCTGTATGTAGTTACCATGTTCCCCCATCACATTCCTGGTTTACTCATGGTGACCTTAGGTGTGTGTATTTGCTCTGGGAATCCAGGGAAAGGCTCCTGTCTAACCATGACTCTCCAATGGATAATGGTGAAAACAGGATTGGTAGATGGATGCACAAGAGTTAAACAAGTATGAATCATGAAGGGCAGGTATATACCCTGTATACTAAAATGGCCATATTATAATTTTTTTTATATCAAATTGATGTTTTTCATGCAAGTCGTTTCAAAACACTTACACAAACACTGAAGAGTCTGGCCTTCTCTACATTCATGTCACACATTTAAAAAAAAAAAAACCTTAACATTAAATCTGACCTTAAATCTTCTGAAAATGTAATCTGTTGATATATCAAGATGAACCAGATTACAACAGTAGATAGACTCATGCACCAGGATACCTTTCAGAGCTCCTTGCTACAGCAGAGGTCCTTCACAGACCTTCACAGTCCTTCACAGACCCACAGACAGTCCACGTTTTTGCTCCCTCCCAGTTCCTGGGAGGGAGCAAAAATGTGGACTGTTTGGTAAGGAGTTGGGAGGGAGCAAAATCATGGACCAATTGTGAGTCCCTAAAGACTGAATTGAGAAACACTGCTCTATAGCACATGGATCCCAGCCACCTTAGCGAGGTGCAATTAAACACGTTCTTTTTGTAGCTGTCAATTCAACTCCATTACTCCACCCTAACATACTGTATGTCATCAATGTAGCTCTTGCCTCTACACATATTTATCTTTGCACAAATCCTCAGCTGAACCTTTCAGTGAAGCGACATTCCTGGGCTCTCACCTGCTAAGACGAATGCCAGGCAACTGCGAAAAATAGGACGAGACTAACTATACACGCAAGTCGCCTCAACTGGATGGAAATAGCACAGCCTGAGAACTGAGGAAAGCTGCTTGGTTTCAGGGGCTCAATACCACAGTCTACTAGCGCACTGCTCCAAGCTCGGGCTGTTTTATCAGCAGACGTGTCTTTATGAACCCTTGACACTAATGATTTGTAAGATTATTTGAGAAGTCTTTGCAGAATGCTAAGTGACGCAGGAGGTCTTTACATGATTGATCTGGTGGTTTTTGACTAGTCTGGTCTTTTACAATGGCATGCCGTTCACAAGGCTTAGAACGTTATGCATTTAAGGTGAAAAAACAGTCCGATTTTCACTCAATCAATGACTCTAAATATGGCCCCTCACCAAAGTTTCAGGAGTTCATCATATATCACCAGTAGACCTCTTTTCGTTTTACTATCAACTGACCACCAGCCGGGAGTTAATTGACTAAATATCTATTTGATACAGGAGACCATACCATTCCCATGCTGGCAGGACAAAGACCTATCTAATTATTAAAGTTTGGCAGACCCCCGGGCTGCATGGGGATGAGAGGTGGGACAGCATGAAGCTGCCACCCACGGATGGCAGTGAGGCTGCTGCCCACGCAGCCTGCCGGGAACGTGCGAAGGAGACGTGCAGACAATGGGCAGGAAGTGCCTACCGATCTGGCATCACCTCAAAACACGCCTGCCAAGGGCTTTAAATACACATGCGCAGCAGGCAGGCCTCACTCACCCCCTTCCTTTACATTTATTTACTTAGCAAATGCTTGTACAGTTGAGAAAGCATACAGGTCATATGGTACCTGGAGCAATTGGGGTTAAAGGTCCAACAGAATAATCAAGGGTCCAACAGAGGAATCACTCTGCTGATAACCAGGGACTTGAAGCAGCAACCTTCCGATCACAGGCCCAGTATCCTAACCTACAGGGCCACATATTGCCCTTCAGGAGCATGAGATGAAAGCACATGAAATTATTTCTGGTCCATCATTGTTAATCAGTTCCCACACAAAGCCAGGTGAAGATGCTCAGTGACACGGTGTCAGTCCCTAAAACAGAACCATCGTCCCCCTGGATGTGTGTCCGGTGCGCATGGCACGCTGTGAGTGAGTGTGCAGTGCAGAACCTCACCTGGTTGTAAAGAGCACAGATGTGCAGGGCTGTATTGCCGGAGGCATTCTGGGCGCTCATATCAGCCCCGTAGAACAGCAGATGCTCCAGGTGCTGGACATGTCCATACCGGCAGGCCTGTATCCCACAGAGAAGGAAACCAACAGTGACTAACGGGACACACACACACACACGCACACCCACGTGAACACCCACATGCACACATACACATATACATGCATACACACACACACTAGGTATCTATATCTTTGTGGGGACTCTATTTCATTTCTATGGCCATAACTATAATCCCAACTATGACAACCTTAACCGCTACCCAGCCCTAACCATAACTGTAAGTAACCAAGCAAAATACATGGCATTTTTAGTTTTTTGATTGCATTCACAGATTTTAATAAAATTGAGGTTATCCTTGTGGGCACCTTAAAAATGTCCCCACAAGGTCAAAAGTTTCCAGTTTTTATCATATTGTTTGGAAATCTAGTCCCCACAATGTAATAATTACAAAAATGCACGCACACACATCACATTCATGACTGTTACTCAAATACAATGGCTTAACCAGGCACAGGTGCGTAACCTTTGAAAGTACAGTACAGTTTCCTAGGTAACAGCACTGATGCATCGTAATCTTTCATTAAGAAGCAGCATTCTACAAATGTAGTTTTCAAATGTGTGTAGCTATAATAAATGAGAGCACACATTAAAGCAGTCCGTGTTACTTCTCTATTTCAGATCATTAGGTGATTGTGATTGTCAGAAGAGGCTCTATTAACATCTATAAGCACACAATGGAGCCTCATATAATCTCTTCATATGATCCAATACTGACCCATTCATCCCACATTCCACCCACTCAGTAGCTCTCAGACTCTCAGGTACTTGAGCTGCAATTGATTTTATTTAAAGGTGAGCGAATAAAAATACAGTTCAAACCACTCAGACTACAGACATACACTGCAAGCTTATGCTGGATCATCATATCTTGCAAATTCAAGCTGTTTCAATGGCATTTTGTTACTCTAAGAAAAAGCAAAGGTTGTGAAAAGGACAGAGGGAAAGAGGGAAGTGTGTTTCATCAATAATTAAGTGGTCTCACAGTAGGTAGTGAGGCATTCACACAACACTTCTATCGTTCATCATGAGAAAAGGTTCCCAAAATAATTCTTTCTTGATAAATGTTGGTTGTGTTGTACAAAAAGACAGTTACAGTTTATTTACAGGAGGCTTGACAGCAGCCAGGTTAACATTTTTCTGAAGGAGACAAACAAACACTATGTAAATGAACACCTGCTCTACCACTCTGTCCTCCACAGGTAAAATGCACAATACTGTAGTACCTACATATGGCCACAAGATGTCAGGATACCTTTATCATTCTAAGGCAGGACTTTACCTAACTACTTGGTACACAGCATTCAGAACTCAGACATGCTGACTATTTGCAGCTGAAAATAAACATTACAAATCATGCAAAAATTACTACTTTAAATTATTTAGAAAATGGACATGAAATATCAAGAGACAAGTATGTTTTTTCATATTTGACAAAAACATAATAGTGGAATAATACATCAGAGAAATAATGGCAGAAACACAAAAATTACACAAAATAATCAATAAAAAAACAAATATGCAGCTGATATCAATAAGAGGAAATTGGCTATGTAAGAACCTCTGGATGCTGAAACTACAGGCTGATTACAATGACTCACAATGCCCACTAAGATTATTCACTGAATACAAACATAAAGTTTGCACAATCAAATGAACGAGACAGCATTACACTACCTTCATGGATCTAAAATTTACAATCAAGTAGTAACAGTGCAGAGTGAAAAATGATAGTGTTGCTTCTCTTTCACGGTCCATGGAATGCCTTGACCGTAGATGCTCTTAACACAAACACAAATAAAGACCTTTACAGATATTCTTCTATTTAAGACCTTCAGCTGGGCTCCAGCCAGGCCACTGAGATCCCCTTACAGTGGGCAAGCTGGATTTTACAGCAGGACACTGTATGTCAAGTTCCATAGAAAGAGCACGATGGACCCAGGGACACATATTACATGGGAAAATGTTCGCAAAGCAGATTGTCTTTGTTTATAGGAAGCAGACAAACAACAGGCAGTGGGACCTAAACACTGTGCGCAGAGTTATCTGGGCAGTAAAAGGGAGGGCTTCCTGTCTAATAGGGTGGATATCCACCCAGAAAAAGCCAGTGGTGGGTGTGTGCGTGTATGTGTGTGGTGTGTGTGTGTGTGCATGGGTGTGTGTGTGCATTGAAATGAATGAGCGGTCCCCATAAGGGATATGTTTACCCTACATGCTCGTGTGGGTATGTGTGTGTGCACGTGGGTGTGTGTGTGCGTGCGTGTGTGTGTGCGTGCATGTGGGTGTGTGTGTGCATGTGGGTGTGTGTGTGCGTGCGTGTGTGCGTGCATGTGGGTGTGTGCGTGTGTGTGTGTTGGGGGGATTTATCCCCTGAGCGGTAGCTGGCATTCCTGTGAAGACCCAGTGTAAAGGAAAGGGTGGGTGACCCTCCTGTAAAAGGCATCTACAGATAACAGGGGGGCGCATCTCCGTTCCTGAGGATGGGAATGTTCTCAGTGAAGAGCAGCACACACACGGGTGGGGGCCATGGCCAGCTGAGCCCCCCCTTCCACACCACCTCAGGAAATTAACCCCTGGCTGTTTGCTAGCCAGCCAGCTGTGCCTTTGGCTAGAGAGTTAACTTCATCAAATATACTTAGTCAGGTATATTTGCATGCATTTCCATCTAAATAATTTGAGGCTTGACAAATTTTTATTGCTCTGACAGAACATAAGATTAAATTATTATGCTTTGAGGTACAGGGGGTACAGAGTATGAGTCAATATTATAGAGCATAAACAACTTTTCATAAACCAAATCAAACTTTAGGCCCTATGACATTCAAAAGCATTTTGTAATGCATTATACCAGCATATTTCCACATGTCTTAATAATATCTTTTGTAAGTCAATAGTTAAGTCAATAAGCACAACACAGCAGACTAGTACCTACAGTAGTATAACAGTTGAATGCATTGATTAGTTGGCATGAACAGTATCCAAATGTTTTTTAGAGTAAGGGCAATTTTTTTAGTGTCCTATGGAAGTTAACAGCGTATTTCTTTATGCACTATTCTCTCTGTCACATTGGGCTGCTCGATCATGGCAAAAAATCATTTTGACCAAAATCAAAAATCACGATTATTTTAGTCAATATTGTGGTCACAGTTATTTAACTTGATTACTTTGGTGTTGACTTGTGAAAAATCATGCATTTATTGAACTTTAAAAAAACTTGTCTTTTGAACAGTGGATTTCCTTTAACTCTAAATACAGTGGTACCTTGGTTCTCGAACTTAATCCATTTCGGACTCCGGATCGAATCCTAAAAAG